GATTATAATAGTTGTGAGAGGTTATTATGGGCACGGAAGAATGATTTTTTTAATTCTTTGTTGGTCTGGCGCAAGTAATGACCAACAAGGTAGATTGACCTGTCAAACAGGGAAGCTCAGGTCATTCAGTTAAATGCATGCAACAAATTTTCTCTACGACCACGTCATACTTTCCTGATATGTTCTTAAATTGATGCAGCATTTGATCTTAAACCAAATTTCCAAATTCAAAATACACAGATTCCAATCACCATATTTATGTGCTAATTACCAGCAAACGAGTTGACATTTATTGTACGAGATACATCAATTGGCTCGCAGCTTGAGGAAGCATTCCTTCGGATCATTCAAATTATCTTTCTATACGTTATGCAAATCCTTCCCTTAAAAGATGAACAGAGTGTGGTAAAGTCTGAAAACCCAATAAAAAAAAATCAAATAAATATTTATTTGCTTAAACGAAGCATGTCTGTTTATAGTCTTGATGTATCTATATATGGTCACGATGTGATGTCATCATCACCATATTTAGGCATTCCAGATAGTTTTGAACAGGGCTTTAGGTTGGTAAAAACTTGTACTAAACAATATTAATAATTTGTCTTTTGTGAAACTGCCACATGTCAATAATGATTTTCTATATAAAAATCAAATTATATATTTATGCGTATAACCCATTTCCATGACAAATCTCAATTTGTTTTATTATTCTTTAACCACAAATTCTCAAGCAAAGGTTGCATAATTGCATTTCTTATTCGTCAATAAAATTTTACTTTTCTTTCCATTCTGCCTAGATGCTTTTGGTAGAACCGTTTCGCATGAATTTTTTTTTTTTCCACCAGGTCTATACAAAAATGTAGAAATGGTGTTAATATATTCGGGACATAAAATACCTTCTAGCTAATAACTTAAATAATGTAAAGTAATTTTACGTTCTGTCCAGATAAGTTCTTTCCATGTCATGATGTGCCTATATATGGTCATGATGTGAATTTTGAATCAATTAAAACTGAATTTGATTGATCTGCATTTTAATGAAAGTTGTCATAAATTTATAATTCATTATTTTAATTGTTTTTCAAGACATTCCAAATTTTATTTCATTGCTAAAGAAAACTTCCCTAATGTGATTTATCCTTGAGGTGAACTCATCCATTTACTGCTGATGTAATCGTTGAATATCCTCGTGGCAAAACACTTCACGATTGCCAGTACAGTACTTGCATTTCCACGGCATTGGGTGTAAACGCATCTGTACAATCATAGATCTGGAAAATCTTACATACCGTACATCCATCATCTCTGGAACTCTGTGGGTTTCTTTTTTTTATTTCTTTTTTTTTTGTAACTGATTTTTGGTAACATGAAACATGTCAT